TCATCCAAAGAAAGTTGAGACCAAGTGTATCCTGGAAGTAAAGACTCCCACTAGGCAATAAGTCTTCTTAAACAATATATAAAAAAAAAATCAAAATCAAGAATAGATAAGTAAGTTTCTCAGATAATTAGGAAATGAAAGGATATCTCAATTAGGCATTTTTTATTGAGAAGAGATCTTGAGAAGCAGATCTTTAGAGAAAGCTAAAAAATTTTTTTCAATTTTTATCTTTTTATTTTCTTGTTATCTATTTGGATATTTTTAAATATTCCCTTCTCTTTTTTTTCAACCTATCTTTTTGTAGTTTCCTGTATTCCAGCAGCTTTGTCAGACATATAGTGGAACAACCTGCTGGCAATAATACAGTAAACTATGAGAGTTTTTATCCAAAAATACTATAAAGCAAAATATTGTCTCCAAGGTCAAACTTGGAGGCTTTTATGCTTACAATGAGTTAGTTAGATTAGAATAATAATTTAACTGTAGTATTTATCATGCTGCTCAAATAAAAATGTATTTATGTTTTCAATTGATTAATAAACTGACAATTTAGTCTGGTTATAAATACTTAAAAAAAAAAAAGTAAAAAACTTGAGGCTAAAGTAATCTCTCATACCATAGGACAACAAGTTACAGATTTTATTTATCAAAATATATACTTTCTGATTATAAATATATTTTAAAAATAAATAGTTGAAAATTTATTAAAAATTTTTCAAATATAATATCTCCATTCTACTTAATACCATCTGTAAACAAATTAACTAGTGGAGTGTTTCAATAGAGTATTATGTAAATCTCTAGCAAAAATAATTGAAAGAAAATATAATTGAAATAAATTATTATATTAATATTATTTGATTATTATATATCAAAACAGGCTTTTATCAAATTTATACTTTTCTATTTAATTTATAACTATAATTCTCAAATATTTTATATAAAAATAGATGAAATAATGAAAGAAAATATTTTGACTTGTCTCTATTAATATATTAAAACTCTGCTTATTACTTAAGAAACTGTTCAAAAAATATTTTAAAACTCCACCAAAATAAAAAAAAAATATAACCTATAGTTAAAAAAATCAAAAAATCTTAAAATTGGTAATAAAGTATTAGTCTATAATACTATCAAGAACAAACATTTTACTAGAAAGCCAAATCAAAATAAAAAGGATCTTATTATATATATAACAATTCTAAAAATAGAATCTTTAAACTTAGAACTATAGATAGAAAAGTTCTAGTTGTTTCTTTGAACATGGTTTTGTTAAAACCATACTGTAATTTTAAAAAACAAAAATTTATTATATATATATTGTATATTAAAAACTAAAAAAAGAAATATATATTATAATAGTTATGGTCTCTAAGTTCTTACTATTATTGTAGTCAGCTCTAAAGCTATTAGAAATTACTATATAATATTAAAATAAAATATTTAAAAGTAAACAAGTAAAATTAGAAAAAAGAGAAACAAAAATCTTAAAGTTTAAATAAAAAAAAAGATTTTATCTAAAGAAACAGAAATAGAAATATTTAACTGAATTAATAGAATATTAAATTTGATTATTTTTTACTACAAGTTTTAATTTTTCCATTTCAATTCTTTGACTTTTATTAAAGTAAAACTTTTAGAAGATAATTATTATATCTTTTCCTCTGATAAATATTTTTTTAAAGATCAATTTGAGATCCCCTATTATAATATATTTATTTCTTTAAATGTTTGATTCTTTTCTATAGAATAATGATAGTTGTTCATAAAGAATCTATTTTTTTTAAGTAAATGAATTTTTGTATTATGGCAATTCTAGTTTCTTTATGCATGATGTAAAAAAAAATATGAAAAATATTTAATAAATTAAAAAAAATTATTATTATTTTTTTTTTTTTTATATTAACCCTCTGTCAGGTTAGTTAGGTGTGCTTTATTAAACCTTTGTAAACCATATATTAATATGTGTCGCTAAAGCTATATCTCTAACTAACTCACTCGTCTTAGTTTTTAGCTTTCTATAAACTCTAAGTGCAACTTCGGGAGTAATTTATCGCTCCATTAGAAGTTTGGGTAAATACCCTTCCAACTTCTAACATCATAGCCTGCAGCTCACTACTGCAGTTTAAAAAAAATTATTATATTAAATGAGTGAATATTAATAATTATATTTTTTAATAATTATATAAAAGTTTATATTATTTATTAGTTTGCATCAAAAAAAAAATTATAATATTTGTACAAAAATTAGCATAATTATTATTTAAGATCTAATTTTAAAGGATTTTCTAGTCAAAATTCTAGAATTTGTACAAGTGATTCTAAAATTTTATGATCTCTTTCAATCCATTAATAATTAAGTTCTGTAAATATATAAATATATAAAATATGTATTCATATGAAAAATAAAATTCTCTTATTAGTTTATATGTATTATCTAAAAAATTATTAAAAAAAATTGTTAACTAATTATAATGATTTTATCTAAATAAGTATTAGACAAAATATTATCTTATTAAATATTGCTATACTTATGGTCTCGTTAAAAAATTTAAAGAACAAGACATATAACTTTATCAATTTAAGTTTTATAAATATCAAATTTTTTTATATTCTTAATTCATAAAACTTATAACTTAAATAAGAAGGAAATGTTAATTTTAATTAATAACTATATTTTTTTTTAATTATTGACTATAGTTTTTATCTATTATATTACTTTGGTTTTATTTTTAGATCATGTAATATATAGTTTGGAACAAATCTTTTCATTCTCTTTTTTCATTTTATTTTTATTTATAATTTAATAATTATTTAATAAAATTTAATAAAAATTTATATATATATTTAAGAATATAAAGAATAAAATTACTTAAATATTTTTTAAAAATTAATTATTAAAATTTTGTTAAATTATAATTTTTAAAAAATATATTTTTAAACCTGTGGGTCTATAGCACAATAGTAGTGCTTCCAAGTCATAATTACAAGGTCCAGAGTTCAATATCACACAAGGGCCATATGAGAAAAATAACTAGATTGTATGAATATGGAACTTCTGACTTTTCTGTTGATCACCGGGCTGAAAAGAATCTATCATGAGGATTACATGAAGAAAGGTCTCTAGTCTGATTATATGAATTCCGTCCAACTTAATTTCCCCTGAACTGAACAGAAAACAAATCCTAGGATCCACTTTTAGGACTGTGATAATCATTTAAATATATCACTAATCCCAAACTGTACCAGTAGACTCTGGAATTCCACTTTTAGGACAACGGCAATCATCCGAACATTCCTACCCCAAATCGTACCAGTAGAATCTGGAATCTGACTACTCTAACTTGAAATATTCCAATCTGGTGCTTGCTTAAATGAAGGACCTGTCGAATAGGACTTGTTTGTGATACCACAGGTAGTGATAAAGAAGATAGAAATTTCTTCTGAGCTTCAAGTGAAAAGTATCAGAGTATCTGGATAGTTAAAATAACCCTTGAGAATTTAATACTAGTGTATAAGTTAGTATAGCAAAGTTCTTTATTAACAGAATTAGTTAACTATATCAACATCACTATTGATGACTGTTATTAACCATTCGGTCCCTAGTTAGGCGTGCCCATTTACAGGGAGATTTCAAGCAGGTCTACCTAGAACAAGTCACGATAGGTTATCATTAATCTGCATGTATATGTATGAGATGATTGATGTAATGCTTAAGATTTAATTATTAATAAAAAGCTCATATCTAATACTAGTTGCAGTTTAATTAAAATATATATATATATATATATATATACAGTATATATTTAAAAATATTGATTTTATTATAATTATTTTAATCATTAAATTTATAAAATAAAGATAAATAAATAAATAAATAAAATTTTTACAATTATTTATTAAAAAATTTTTTTAATTATATATTTTATTTAAGTTTAGTAAACAAAAAATATCAATTTAACAATAAATTACTATTTTTGAACTTTATAAAAAAATTTAGAATTAAATTTATAAAATAAAAATTTAATAAATTATATTAAATATATTATTATATAATTAAGAATCTTTAAGAATTTTATATATAAGAATTTATAAAAAATTTTATTTGGTTATTTTTTTAACTTTAAATCAAATTTTTGAAAGAAAATTATTAATTATTTATTATTAAAACTCAAATATCTTTTAAATTAAGTTAAAGTTATAAATTATATATATTTAAAATTTTATTTTAATTAAATAATTATTTATTAAATTATAATAAAAAATAAAAGGGCAAAAAGTTTTGTCCCAAACTGTATATGATACAAGTTATGTCTCATTGATTAATAAAGTAGATTTCATAATTAAAATAAAGTGATAATTTATATAATACATATTATTAAATTTCTTTATTCTATTATTATATCTTAGTTCATATTTTTCATGATGAGTTAATTATTATGTGAAAATTTAAACAATCTTGTAGGAATTTTTTCAACAGTCTCAATAAAGTGAGCCGTGATGGCATGATTGCAAGTTAAAAATGGTCATGTGAATATTCATTGTAAAATTGTAGAATACAGTATCTCAATAAAGACACGCCATGATGGCATGATTGAGGATTTAAAAAAAAAGTAACAATAATTATTGCGAGTTATAAATATAAATAAATATATGTATGTATGTATGCTATATAGTTCTGATAAATAGAAATATCGAACAACAGTAAATATTCAATCCATCCTTTCAAACCTACCCTCCTACCACGTTATAACCAATCTAGAAATGGGTATTTAAATGACACAAAACCTACCCTTGCGCGTTGACACTTTCGACGATCATGACTAAATTATCCAAGATTTTCATGTATCACATAATAAGTAACAATGGACATCAATAGAATTATATTCTGTTTGCGAGGATGCTGGTGGGTTTTCAAGGTTTGCAGTTTTTCCGCATCTTTCCTTAAAAACCTTTATAATTACCCTGATCTTAAATCAAAAAAAAAAAAAAAAATTGATTTAATGCCCTTATACAGTATATTAGGAGAGAATAACATGTTAATCGATCAGGCCACAAGTTGATCTTTGCATTCATTATTTGTCACATAGCGCATGTTATTGATGAATCTAATTAGAAATGAACAAAGAAGAAATGTTCCAAAAATGGATAATTTTCTTTAAAAACACCATTGGACCGATTTGAAAATTAGTCTTGATCGTTCAAATGTCAATCTACGAGTCAACTGTTTAGGTTCATTGATAAGCAGGTTTAGATAAAGAGGAAAATAATTGAAAGATACTTCCTTCGATGGAATGCTTTATACGTACTTGAAATCAATTAAAATCCTATTTGTCATCAACAAGGCACTGATTTTTATTTTAGAGTCAGTTAAATATCTCTAGAACGTCTAGTTCGAAATCGAAATAATTCACAAGATCCTGAAATCATCGTACATATCTTTTTTCATCAGGATAAATATAGAACAATGTGTTTATTGAGAACACGTGATGTGTAATGCTATGCTTTGCTATGTAATCTTACGTGCTTACCTGTAATATCACATGAGGACACGTATAAATCCCATAGTTTTAGAAAGTTATTGTATACAAGATTCTATAAAGTTGTTTTTTTAAATGAGAAGAATTTTCACACGTTTTTCCAAACGTAATGGTGAAGGTGAGAGGCTTCGAAAAACAGTATTACGTACATGCTAGTTCCTTGGCCGAAAAATGTGCTGGTGCATAAGAAACAGAATGTGATTTTTTTCCCTTAGAAGTAGTCGCACGAAATTTGTCAACTACATTATGAGCCTTAAACACAAAATATGTATTGGCCGTGGACATCTAAAACTATTAAAGCGGTGCATTATTCACAGACCCGCGGATTTGTGGGTGGAATTAAAACTTCGAGTTCTGTTAATCGCCATTAACAGAAATAACACTTTCTGAATGCGATCAACTTGAATGTTGGAGGTATGGAATATGAGATAAAACAAGAAATAATTTTAGAATATCTGCGCTATTGTATTATGCAGTATCGGAAGAATATTTACCAATAAAACACACACATGCTATATTTCCAAATGAATTTGATTACTATCGTATATCCGCATGAATCAAGACCTAATATTGCATTTCAATATTGATAAGACAAGAAAGCATTGTTTGTTGCTCACTATCATTACATCATATTTTTTGGGGTTTGCATTTTGCATTATCGAATAAATATCTTGTAAGACGTGTCATGTATAGAAATTTCCCACGTATGTCGTACAATGAACTCGCACGTATTTATTTTTAAACATATCGTAATTGCATAATTGACCTTAGTAAGTGTTTTAACATACAGTACATGCATAAAAGAAAATATGGTAAATATTCGAATAGTAAAGTAAAAGACGTTCTATATTTCGTTCCTAAATGTAATTATACGTTGAGCAAAGCGAATAATAATAATGAGTATTTAAATCGGCGGGGGAAAGTTCAAAAACAGAGATGTTCGTTTCGTGAATGGATGGCTCCGTTTCTGGCCTTTCTGGTTGTGAATCTTCGGTGATTTCTTCTGACACCGAAAAAACGTAAGGTCGATATAATTCTGTCTTACTGCTGCCTCTGGAAGATGATCGATATTTGAATTCCGGGTATCGACGAGTATGCAAGCTGACAACTCTTGCCGCTAATTTTTCATATTCTTCTTTTTCATCAGGTGAAGCTCCACGCCACAGCATCCCTGTTACTTTACTGATGACTCTCATGTTACATATCCCTCGTCGTTTTGCTTGATTGTGAACATTCTTGCGACATATCAAAAATCCATTTGGTGGTCTCGGTGGCCTGGAGTTAAGTCTCGTAGGAATATTAAGAAATTCTTCGGGTTTACTCAAATGTGGCGGAAATATTAACGATCGATCAATCTTTTGAATTAGCGAGTCAGCCAAATCGTTCAAGGAGGAATATTGCAGAGACATCGTAGCAAAAATTTTGTTATTCAGATACGTACATTTGCGAGTCGCAGGTTAAATATGCGAACAGATGACCTTTTATACTTGAGTTCCACTACTAAAGAGCTTACCATTGGAATAAGTATTGAGATATATATATATTTACTTTATATGCATTGTCACACAGTTATTAAAACGCTCGAAATGCTATATTTACAATGAATCACCAATGATTTCTTTCCCCTTCATGCCTTATCTTTTTTATTAAACGCGTCAATAAGTCCGCAAAAAGTCACGCGATTAATCTAATACTGATTTACCCGATATTTATTACATTGCAAATATCATGACGTAATATACAATGTATGAAACTTCTTGGTGGTTGTATTGTACATTAGTTCTTTGTTAACATTTCTTCCGCAAATTCCGAGTCACTTACAAATCCGTGACCTCACAATATCAATAGCATGTGTTAACAAAATATTTAGAGCGCAAATACGTAGTCCATGAAAACAATCATTATTTATAATTAGATGGCTTAAGAGTAGTAGGTTTAGTTACTATATACAACATGTATGACGGAAGGCTGGTTATTATTTATAAACCGAACAATCAATCCAAATACATCGAAGATCCGAACAATCTAAAAATTTTAATGGTCGTCTCAATCCAAACGAACTATACTACGTACACGATGTGACTTGTCATAAATTCTATTTGTTAACGATTTCAGCTTGATCCTTGAGTCCCTATGATCATTTAATGAAACATTTTATTTTCTTTGAATCAACTTCATGAAGCAGGCATATTTGTTCTTTAATTTCATTATTGTAAACTCCTTGAAACTTTCGATATATACTGTATATACGCGCATATATTTTTACTTAAAATTAAACCAATTTTTTTTTTTTAAAAAAAAAAAAATCTTATATTGAAATAATTGGGTAATTATTTTTGAAGGCTGACCGGAAATTTTCTGGCACTAAAATTGTGATCCTAAAATTTACATTACGTATTTGTGTGTTGTTTAAAAGTAGGGTTCTAAAAATAATATCATCTAGCATTTTTGTTGCCTTCAAAAATAATTACCCAATTCAAACTATGCCATTATAATAACCTTTTATAGAACGTAATATTATCTGCAGTACAGTATTGGCAGTGAATTTAAAATAAATTAAAATTTCTATAATATATGATTATTTGAATAGAACACGTAATTTCAAATTGGATCAAGTATTCTAGAAAACTACTCAATCTAACTAGCATGTCCATTTTAGGGTTCGATTCCTTAAAATTACGTATTTCGAGGTTAACAATTAACAATGGGAATTCAGATCTATAGATTGATTCAATCACCCACTTTTAGCGATACCCAGAGCCGCTATGATATTACACAACTTGATCGATTTACAGTAAAATAGGAAAGGCTTGATTCCACTACTCTTGTTATCGCATTTAAGACTTACACTTTGCATCTCAACTATTGAATATTGATCACAGGCATTTCCTGATATAAGGCTGCTTTTTCATTTCTTTATAAAAATCAAGAGAGTAATGCACACAAAACTCGATAATCCGTTAAACAAGAGCTTCGAGATGATCAGCACAGCCTCATGACAGAACTAATGCCGAAAGGATGAAATTGTCAATATCAGGTGTCATTGTTGGAACAAATTACCGAATGCATGCACATCTCTTTCTAAGAAGGCGCCAAATGTTTTTACCGGCTAACCTATAAAGACAAACTGCATGCAAATACCGGGTAAATCTCATTCAGCTTGCGTAATGATTATTTTTTAGGAAAAAATTTTTTTCTACTTTCCGAAATTTCTTTATCGCAATAGAACTGCCAATTTGTTTCGCCAAGGCCAAGAAATAAATTGGAGACATTTATAATTGTAAAATTATACCTATTGCCAGAATAGATCCCTATCAGCACCGAATGTTTCAGAGTTGTGGTGTTCCTTAAATCGGCGAATTCGGTTGACCAAGTTTGAGTAATACTATCATGTGAGACATTGTGCAACTATTCAACAGTATCCTCGTGCGTCACTGGTGCGGCACTACGTGCAAATGAAATTTCTGTACTACAATAATTATAAATATATGCTTCTTATGATTCGGAAATTTTACTCATGCATGAGTGCAGTAAGAATGAAATGCTGCACAAAGAACACTATCCTTGTGGTTTAGAGTAGCAACTTGACTTAAGGAATTTATAAATTTTATTAATTTGAATCTTTTTTTAATTAAAAGAATTATTTTTACAAACCATTACCAAATAAAATTATTGATAAACTAAATATAATTATTTGTTTTTCAAGATTTTTTTCTATTATAAATTTATTTATTAATTTATTAATCTATTTTCATATCATTCTTAATTGACTTTATTGGAACAATATGAAGAATCAATCAAGGTTACAATGATTTTTGTCACAAGACAATTGGTTTATTTTTATATAAAAATTAAATTATTTAAAATTAAAAAAAAGTCTATTAAACTAATTTGAACTAAACAAAACAAAGTTTCCATTAAGTATTTTAAGTATTTTAAGGCTGGTTTAATCAATAATGCTTATTTTTCTCTAAATTAATATTTAATTTGTTACTATTTATTATTTTAAAACTATAAAAATTCAAAATTGAAAATAAGAAAAATTAAAATATATAAATTTACAAAATAGTTAATAAATAATTAAAATCTTTTTATATTCTTTTAAAAAAATTTTTACTATTCTTATCAACTTTCTTTTAAAAAATATTTTAATTAAATTATTTTTCTTGTTTTTAATCATTTAAAAAACTTATTTATATTTAAATCTAAAAAAATATTTGAAAATTTTATTAATATTCAAATTTATTATTTATATTTTCAATAATAATATTATATTATAAAAAATTATTTAATTAAGATAATAAAAAAACAATTTTCAAGATTTTTACTTATAAAATATATAACAATAATTAATAAAAATTTTAATTTTATTTTATTAATTAATATATTTTATATTGTTTTTTTTTTTAATTTATAATTATATCATATAACATAATTTTTATTAAAAAGTTTATATAACTATCCACAATATTATATAATTTTTACATAATAACCAACTCTTTATTATATTAAAGTATTTTATATCAGATTTAGGAAACAATATTTTATTTTCTTTAAAAATTAATATAAACTTCTATTCTCTAGATTTATTATTAATAGTTTATTCTTGTGGATTATTTGAAAATGATAAATTATTAAATTAATAAATACCAATTGGAAAATATTTATTTAGCATGATGTCACTCATATAATATTTATCAAAAAAAATGATTTGATATATTAATAACATAAATAAATCATCAATCAATTACTTTTTTTTTTATTAAGTACCCATAACCAGGCTAGATTATCAGTTTATTAATCAAATGAAAATAAAAGTACATTTTTATTCAAGTAGCATAATACATACTACAGCTAAACTATTGTTCTAATTTAACTAACTCGTCGTAAGTATAAAAGCCTCTAAGTTTAGCCTTGAGGACAATATTTTGCTCTACAGTGTCTTTGGGTAAAGATCCTCCTGGTCCACTGCATCATTGCCAGTAGGTTGTCACTACCGTATGTCTGACCAAGCTGCTGGATTACAGGAAACTACAAAAAGATGGGTTGGAAAAAAAAAGAGAAGAAGAATATCTAAAAATGTCTAGGTGGATAAAAAGAAAATAAAGAAGTAAAAAAGTAAAAAAATATTTCT